TCTGCTAGTTCGGCCTATTTCAAGACTTGCGACTTTAATCAAGCCACTAGGAAGGTCCTAGAAAAAGTAAATATTTGTCAAAAAGTGCTATTGTCTGATTGCTTCAAGGCAAGACTCGTCTCTTAATGATTACTTCGATAAAGCATTTTATAATGAATTCTGGGAGCCTTTTACCCAATTATACACTTTATAATCGTGTATTTCCCAGGTGATCATTCTCAGATGAGTCAAATAAACTTCATCTAAAATATCGAGCCCTTTTTTTTCGGTATTGTTAACTTCTGGTATAGGGAATATTCTTTAAAAGATTTCACTTATTTCGGGCCAATATCTGAGAATCTTTTGACGATTGTGGAGCAATAAGAAGCTTGGTACATTATTTTTCTTTGCGAATTCATGGATTCGTTGTTGTTGATAGAGTTTATTCTCATTGTTTAAACAAATACCTTGAGCTATATTGCTATTAAAAATTAGCGCCTCTCCTTTCCTTTCTTCATATATTTTCTGGTTTCACTCTCTTGTTCCTTTTAGGTTTTGAACGTGGTTAGGGCTAATTATGACACTCTAACTCTTCGTGTATTCTTCGAGACTGAAATCATGCATATTTACCAAGAGCAACCGGATCAAACCTTCTTTGATAATCTGGTAAGCTCGTGGTAGCAATCACCTTATTCTAAACGCCCACATCGCAACATTATTGTTACCAAAAAAACGACAAAAATTGATATTACCGTTTAAACGTAACTGTTTCTTTTTCAATATATTCAGCTTGTCGCTGTTGTCAGGCAGAGTCGGAAGAATGTCGTCGAGGCCGCCTTGGACATGCAGACCAGCTTCCATGAGCTGTCTGTTATCTCTTGATCTTCTCTACCACTATATCACCTTCCTCACGATTTTCTTGTGCACATTAACCTTATTTGTTACATTCTTTTTTTTCATTTTTTTATATGATTCACTCAACCACAAATACCTTAAATATTTGATCGGCCGCTTGTTGCTTGCCTGTCAAGTTAGCTCTTTACCTCTGAACTTCATTAGCTGTAAATATTTGATCCAGTCGTATTGAGTACTTGTGAGTATTTTTTCCGCTCACGGGAAAAAGGATTTGAGCATATGTAATTACGATTTCTTTACGCTTATTGAGGTAGGATTCATTTACTCTCGAACCATTTAGGCAAAAAATGTTCATAAACCCGTGTTCATTCTTGTGATCATGTAATCTTTTTTTCAATACATGAAGTCAAGAAAAATGTAGATATGAGAAGTAACTGGGTTTCGATAAATATCTTAACATAACATTGTTATTGAGACTTTCATTTCTTATGAGAGTGGATGATGAAGAGATGCATTGGTTGATGTCACCTGGAGACGACGGCCGATTCCCATTTTTCTGCAGTCGTTTGCGTTTAATGTGACGTTCCTTTTTACGCTGTCCACGAGATATCCTCCCTCTTTTCGGGTAAGGGCGGGTTTATCTTGCATCCATCATATAATGGACATCATCAGAGCTGGAATTCATTGTTAAAGTCTTAAGTTTACACCAGGTCAGGGAGAAGAATGAATTGCTACATAATCAGAGGGCATAGAAAATTTGACTACTATTTTCGATCACCATTACCTACTGATCAGAGACTGAGGATCCTCCAGATAGCAGTTTAAGGCCCAATCGAGTTTAGACTAGCATTTTACTAATCGTTTAACACTTTAATTTTTCTTATCCCTTCTCGATATGGTGACCCGAAAATGGCTGATCAAGAGGTAGGAATGAAATATCTGGTTCAGGGAATATTGAAGGTTCCCTTTTGCCTAAGCCGGGAGGTGAGAATATACGTACATGAAGCGGGTGGTTGATAAGGGACTAAGATAGTGCTGCGGTAGAGCCGAATTCTGTCCGGATCTTCAGTTATTCCTCGGTCTGGGGAGCGCTGGTCGGCTAGTCTGTGTGCGCAAGTATTGGTA